CCATCACACTGATCAAGGATTTATTTGGACAGCTTGTAAAAGATACCTTCAGACAACTTCTAAAGCGTTGCTCAGAGGCCAATTACTGCTGAGATAGATTAGGTTAGGTTATTTAATTACGACAAAGCCTCGAAGGCTATCTGCCTAAGGGGAGGGATGCCTTCGTAGAGGAGTTTCCCGGCTCGTATACACGTTACACATGGGGAAAACCACGAAAACACCCTTGCAGCTAGCCCGTTCGCGGGATTCGAACCTCGACCGAACTACCAGTGTTCAGCGACTTTACTGCTCGGCCGCTGGTGGGCCTGCTGAGATAGAATCACAAAAATATTGCGCAGTCACTTTAGGTAGCTTTAATGATGATGCCATCATGTGTCTGCATTTATGACGATGATTTGGAGTTAGCGGTTTGACGATAAACCTTCCTCAGCTAATCGACGAAATATTGTCAGCATGGATGAAAAGCTTCACCATCTCTCAAGGTATCCGACTGATTATTGCCAGCTCTAGCTTAAGCTATCACTACTGCCTGCAGCTGGATACATTGATTGCGTTGTGAGGCAAATATTAGCACTCTGGTCTCATTTCGATGGGTTATGTTATCTTCTAACTATTGTCCGTAAATTCGACTTACGTTTCTTAGTTTTTGGGATAAACCTTTCATAACTTAAACAATTTTTAAAGAACTTTCTTTTTAAGAATTACATAATTTTGAAATTTATTTTAAAAATGCATATTATTTTAATATTTTTGTATTTAATCTGTTATTATTTTAATACTTCATAATATATTTTTGCGAAAACCCAGCTGCAGTAAGATAGCTTCCCCGCAAAGCGGGTTTAGGATGGCCAGAAAATGGCAAGGAAAGGCAAGGTTGCTAAATTTGGCGCGAAATCGCCCGTTTGGCGACGGAATCGGCGATGTGGTACAGATGGAGCGAGATCTTTCTAGAACGAATTCTTACCGGTCTTCCCAAGAATGTTCTCGAAGGCAGGTCAAAAGCTAAGCATTTTCCGCATAACAAATTTATGCATTTCTGAGAATTTGTCAACATTTAGCTTAACAGACTAACCTTTTCTCTTTTATGACACGTTCAGATGATATTATTTTTTGAATTCATCCTGAAATCTACGCGGGGCTAAAAAAATATGCCTGAAATTCTATTTTCTCTGTGAAGTAATACGTAAATTACTGGTATTGAGCAAATTTCAAGAATAATATACAAAGATTAATATATAGTTTGATTTTTGATAGATTTATTCAACCACAGTCTTCAGAATACCTAGGTTTTACCCTAAATAAAAAGATCTAGAAATGAATAGAATAGTAGACAAATGAAGAAATTATTTTTATCTGTTATATTATGTCAAAGTTATTTCCCTCGTAATAATAATCTTATTGCATAAAATTCCAATTTATGCGCAATTTCTCACTATATCGGCAATATATGCATATTTTTAACACTAGATTTACGGGACTCGCCATTTTCACGGATTTCGAACATCATGCGCAAAATTGCAAAAAGCATTATTTTTATAGTATTCTAATTTATGAGACGATAAGTACCCAAATTTATTTCCCCTTCAGTCTTTTAATTTCAGAATTCTATATGATGTATACCGATCTCTATTGGTAAGCGCCAAAATGGGGCGGGTAAGCTAATTTCATAGTTAATCGTAATAAACCATTTTTTTTTTTTTTATGAAATTATTTTTTCTGGTGACAAATGTAAAAGTAGCTAGAACTTAGATGTTAAATAAAAATCATAGTTTTCAACAGAAACATCTTTCGATAACTTCGAAACCAATATCAAATCGCCAAAGCAAGGGATACGTCACGTGGGATTATCTGTCAATCGTATTATTTGTATAAGTGTTAGGTTCAAGATTAAAAAACGATCTACAGTCGATGAGTTCCAGTCAGCGTGTCAAGACGTTTCAGAAAAAGTTTCAGTTAGTGCGAGTAGAGATGATCCTGAAGAAACTATTGCATTATTATTAACGATATCATTATAGAATTAGAAAAAAAAGTACTAGTTTTACTTTATTCTGAAGAATTACCCTTCTTTAGTCATTATGAGTAATTCAAGAAGAGATACTAAACTGCTAGAAAGAATAATTAGTATTAGCGAAGACTGCTCTGGTACAAGCTCTGGTAAGTCTGTTAACTCTGAAAGTAATTTCTACAGCGTTTTTTCTACATCGATAAAAACAACGGGTCGTTAGCGCAGAAGTAATATTAACTTTGTTTTGGCATTTCACTATAAACGGCGTTTCGCTTTTCAGATTGTTGCCGCCAAATATTATCGCCCTGTGTTAAAGAAATTAATTATGAATCTGCGTAAATGTATGTATGTTTCTCGTATTGTGATAAAAACAACGGTACCTAGAGCCATCCAATTTTGAATGACGTACGTCTCCACCCGAATATGGGCATGTGGATACCCAAATTTGAAATGTGTTTTATTATCTATTTCATATTTTATAAAATTTTAACTAGTTTTTGATTAACAAACTCAACGATTTCGAAGGGAGCATTGGCAACACTGTACTGGTAAGTGCAATCTCTCTTAACTGAAGGATAAAATCAAGTGTCTTTTTTTCGATGATTTTGCTATTGCTCATTTATCAGTTATTGTCAACAGGCAATCAACCCTTTAGATTATAACTTCTCGCTTTGTAAGTGGACAAATAAAATTTATTGAATTTTAATTTGTATTGATGGAAGTTGACTGAAGTTAAAACAATAACTCTCCGTCATTTAGAAATCAACTCTTAGGGAAGTACCATTAGGTAAACACATTTTTAAGAATACGTTAAGTATTAAAGTTATAAATTTTCAAAAAATTTTTCGAGAAAAGCGAAACTATTACTACCGTGCATTTTCTTGACCAACAAAATCAATTTAATTTTCATCTGCTTAAGCGCATTTTAGCTGATTGAATTCCACTAAAAACACTTCCCTTATATACAGTGTCTCAAAAAAGTGATGGGACACTTGTGCTTTACAAAAGGAAACTGCAATAAAATAAATTTAAAAAACATGTAAAATTTTTTGTGGGTGTGTTCATACTTAAATTTAGTAACAATTATTACATAACATACATTTTCTCAAAATGTTAAAATATTAATTTAATAAAAATACAAATTGTTTAGAACGGAGCAGAAAATGGCTCACTTAAGTGATGGGACACTTACTTTTCCATCAAATATTTATCAAAAAATTTTACTTTTTAAAAGGTTTTAATATTTTGTTGGATTTTCCTTTTACTTTTAAAACATCTTCTTGGGATGGATTCGACTAATTTTTTTGGGATTTCTGGAGTGATTTTACCTCATTCTTCTTGAAGCACCGATTTTAATTGTTGTTTTGAAGAAATGGTGTGTTTGCGAACTCTTGATTCCAATTCTTCCCAAATATTCTTTATGGGGTTTAATTGTGGAGATTGTGGGGGTGTTTTTATTATTTCAGGGCAGTTATACAGCAGCCAGAGTCTAACGTTCAAAGCACTGTGCTTGGGATCATTGTCCTGGTAGAATTTAAAATCGTTATGAAGGTTCAATTTTCGTGCTGAAGATTTCAAATTTTGATTTAAAATGTTCAATATACTTGTACTGATCCATTATACTGTCATAAAAAGAAGATTACTAACTCCAGAGGACGACATACACCCCCCATACCATAACTCTCCTCCTCCACCATGTTTTACTGTTGGCACCAAGTTCTGTTTGCGAAATTTTTCCTTGGGGTTTCTCTCCACACCAAGATTCTACCGTCAGAACCAAATATATTAGATTTACTCTCTCATCAGCAAATATAACTTCATTCCAGTAATCAGAATTCTTATTTATGTTGGATTTTGCGAAAGCCAGTCTGAGTTTTCTATTCTTTTCACTTACGAAGAATTTTTTCCGGGCTGCTCTACCGTGATATCCAGTAGATCGAATTACTCTTCTAATAGTCTCAGAATTAACAATTACTCCATATAATGCTTGTAAATCAGCAGCAACTTTAGGAGCACTCATTCTTGGATTTTTTTTTTTTTTTTTTTTTAATATTTCGAACGATAATTCGCTTTATTCCATTGGATAGCTTTGATGGTCGGCCAGGTCTTCTTTTATCCTGAATCATATGATTCTTTTTATATCGTTTAATGATATTGAAAACTGTTGAATGACTGAAGTTAACTGTTTCAGTAGTTTCTCTAATAGATTTTCCACGTTCAATATGCAAATTAATAACTAATTTTCGAATTCCAGGCAAAGTTTCTTTTCGTTTAGCATTCATTGCTGCACAGAGCTAAAAAACACAAAAATTCCAAAACAAACTGGAGAGAAATACTGCAGACGATTTTATAAATTATTGGCAATTGATTTTGAGTAAAATAAATACTCCAAAAGATATTTTTATTGCTTACTTCAGACGATTTTTGTTGCATTAGTACGTAGTGTCCCATCACTTATGTGAGCCATTTTCTGCTCCGTTTCTAAACAATTGTTATTTTTTAAATTAATATTTTAATATTTTGAGAAAATGTATGTTATGTAATAATTGTTACTAAATTTAAGTATGAAAACACACCTACAAAAATTTTACATGTTTTTTAAATTTATTTTATTGCAGTTTCCTTTTGTAAAGCACAAGTGTCCCATCACTTTTTTGAGACACTGTATATATATTTACATTAAAATAGAAATAACGAAAATAAAAAGTATTGAAGAAGAGAGCCAGTAAAATTTTTTGTCTAACATCCATATAGCGTGATTTCGAAAAGGGAGTCATTTCGTCTTGAAGTATCTCTTGAACGCTGTTAGGAGGTGATTTATTTCCCTTATGAATTATACATTCACCGCTATAACATGAAATAAGGAAAAACAATGCTTTCTTACAGAGGGGAAGAATACGTCTAATTTTCGGAGTTGATGATTAATTTATAATTCATTGCTTTTCTCTCTTCCTTTTCAGGACTCACAGATGAACTCTGAGCATATAATCTGAAGACACAACAGCATGGAGGCTATGCACATTTGCTTGGCTACGGTTAGAGATTTATCTTATCTGATTATCACCTACTCCCCATACTCACTGGTTGCAGGTTTCGCCGCTTTCATTTTCCTTCTGCGATTTTATTGTTGGCTCACGCTAGGCATTTGTGATTGTAAAGAGAGTATGGAAGGAAAAACTGTTGTGATAACTGGAGCATCCTCAGGTGAGTATTTTTGTTAACTATCACTTTACAGAGCATATGCCCATGGACCTTATAAGAAACAGACCAACCCAAATGGCTTTTCTTCCTCTTCTGACGCATTCCCGGCTATCACCTCGATCACATCCGGAGAAGTAGGGTCGACTTGCAAAAACGTACAATGGTTGGCTATTGCAGTGTGTATAATTGTCAAGTAAGAGTTGGTTGTAGCGCCTCATTTCAAAAATTAGAATTTTTAGATATTTTTATTTTTGAAATTGAGATTGATTTTGAAAAATTTAGCATATTTATCAAGCATAATTAACGTTCCAAATAATTACAAAGGTGTTGTATACTTTCAGGTCTGGCTATTTTTTAGCGTTTCCTATGCTGTAAGGAAATTTGTAACTACTTCTTTTAGAAAATAGTATTTTAAATCTGAATAGAAAATTTCAAACAAAGAATTTTCTCTTATAATTTTCATTGGTGTAAATAAGAAAAAATACTAAAATACCTAAAAATGAATTTTTGAAAGTTTTTTATTAAAATTCTAAGTGGTGCTGCTTTATTAAGATTATAGATGAATATCATAGCTTTTTTATAAAAGAGTTTTATTTCAATTATATTTCACAATACATCATAGTGATAAATAAACCTTAATAATTTTATACATTTAATTCTAATGTCAAAATCGTAAACTGTAATAATTGATTGTGCTAACATTTTATAGTGATTATTTTTTTTAAATTAAATCTAGTTGTGCATAAGATTTTTTTATTTACTGTGAATTTAATTTATTAGTTGAAAGGGGCGGTAGCCCAGAAAGGCTGTTAGTTTCGAAACGGCATTTTGCGCTGTTTCATTATAAACCTCCGTTTCACTTTGCAAATTGTTGCCACCAAATATTATCACCTTGGATTATATTTAAAGAAAATTAATAATGAATAATCTGCATGAATATATGTATGTTTCTCGCACTGTGAAAAAATGGCCGTATCTAGAGCCATCAAATTTTGAATAACGTAATACTCTACCCGAACAGCCGAATTTCGAATTTGTTTTAATATATTTCATATTTTGTAAAACTTTAACGAATTTTTGATTAAGAAACTCAACGAATTCAAAGCGATAAAGATGCTGTTTTCAAATATTTTGTGATACTGCTGTTGAATTGAATTTTGTGTGGTTTTCGTGCGAAGAACGTGATATTCAATAAATAGCGGTAACACACAAATCGCTAAAAAAAAGTCCCTTTGAGCGTAACATAAAATCTGAGTGCTTCCAGATTTTATTTATTTATTTATTTATTTTCATTACACTGAGAAAAGCTTATGCTCCGAATTTTATGAATTATTAAAATAAATAATCATCTTATGATGTTAATAATTAATGATCATATGATCAAATAAATGATCGTCTTGTAATGTTATAGTAATTTTAAAAACCCAGCCTGAAAATCCTCGTAAAAATGTATTTCATCGAAAATATCCATTTTGACCGCTATCGAATGCAATTTAACGATGTTTATGCGTGACATCTGTATGTAAGGACAGAATAAAGAACTCTTTTCCCCAAACGAACTATAAAACTGTTTTAAAATGGATTCAGAAGAGATTTTTTTCGTGGCATCGGTACGTGAAATTCGAGGAAATACGTTTAAATGAAATGCAGCAAAAAATGCGCATAATTTAAAATTCCATACAAGGAAAGCATGTGGTGTACACATCAGGTTTTTAAAAAATTATTATTATAGCATAAGGAATGTAATGTTAATATAGTGCGAAAAGATTTCAGCAAAATAGCTATATATAAAAATAGAGGAAATGTAGTAATTTATCTATGCCGAATTGGACATTAAAATGCATTGCATAATTCATGTTATTATTTCTAAATTTCAAGAAAGAATAGTGTACGAATGAAAATTACGAGTATCAGTAACCTTCAAGTAACCTTCTGTATGGTTTAGAGTAGGGGTTTTCCACCTGTGGCCTGCTGAAGGCATTTTAGTGGCCTCACATTTGAATATGAAGAAACATTGAAGAATTTTAAGAAATTTTGATTTCAAGAAAAATTGCCTTGTTAACTTTTTGTCGGGGGGGGGGACTTTTTCTCTTATTCTTGATATTTAAAGCATTTTATTGATATGCCTGATATTATTTGAGATAAAAGTTTCTGAAAATGATCTCAATGATTTTAACCCTTTAACTGTCAAGTTATTTTGATGATTTGGGTACACAAATTGTCAAATTTTTTTATTGCAAAAACCAAATGTTTAATACAAAAGAAAATATACTTAAGTAGTTAAAAATTGATATTTTGACGTACATGGGTAAAATTTTTAAAGTTTTGTAGCCACTGCATATTTTCTTTGAGGCAGCTGTCACTCAACATGGCAGTTGCAAAGTTCGCTTCTAGTGGAGCATTATTTTCTAAAAATGAAAAAATTAACTATTTCTAAAACATAAATAAATATAAGTGAATACCTATTAGTAGTTCAGTAATTCAGTCTTGTGTGGTACAACTGGAAACCTTTTCCAAGCACAAACCAACTCCACAATCACTACACCAGAATCGTGATTCCTTCCTTATCTTTTCCCCATTTTTATCCTTTTTCGAACAACACACTTTGCACTATTGTAGGCTCACGTTTCGCAGGAATAGGAGGAAAATGGGATATAATAAATGTAGTTCAGTAAGACGGGCAGGGTTATCTATTGTAGGTGGTCTGCCAACATTCTTTTGTCCAGAAGTTGCATCATCATATTTATGTAAAAGCTCTTCTACAACTTGGATTCGAAATTCTAAAAATGCAATACGTTTCCAACTACATTTTTATAGAGCAAATATGAGTTTCCAGAGTACCTTGTCTAGTAAATGTAAAAGTATCGTTTTATAATATTTTATCTGACGTTTTCGGATTGTTGATGAAAGGATATTTTCCTGCTCACAGCGATCTACACCACCCATAGTTAGACCGTAATTAGAAACAATCTTCGGCTTGAGTATATCTCCATTTTTATTTTTGAGGCTGACCATGGAAGTATCATGAATACTGCTCATCAAACACACATCCTTCATCTTCGGTTGAAGAATCTAAATCATCTATATAACGTTTTCAAAGAACTGGACGCTATTTTACAACAAAAAGATCCCATGCACCTTGAACCAAATAACCTCTAACCTTTGAAATCTTCAGTAAAGTGCTGTCATCTATTGAACTGAGCGCACATTAACTTTTCCCGAGATACAGTCGGGTTTGACAAAGAGATGAAGCCGAAATAAACGTCTCCCGATATATATTCGGGTGTAACAATACGATGCACTCAAAAAAAAAATTACCCCGAATAATACTCGGGCGTGACATTTTCGAACACTAGTGCTGTGCCCGAGATTATCTCTCGGGCATGACAGTTAAAAGGTTAACTACCGCTTACTGGGAAAAGATCTACTTGTTCATAATCTTTATTACTTTATGAAAGCTTTTGAGACAAAATTAATCCTGTCTGTAAGTCAGTTGCTAAATAAGAATTCCATCCTTTTTCGAACAACACACTTTGCACTGTTTGCACTTTTTTTCGAACAACACAAAATAGATGGAGTGTGTGAAGGACTCTACAACATGGAATTCAAATAATTATGTGCAATGCATTTCAAATTTGAAAGAAGAATTCAAAAGCAGATTTTCCGATTTCCGTGAAAATGAAATTTTTATCAGAATGTTATCCTCGCCATTTTCAGTAGACGATGGAAGTGTTCCACCTGAACTTCAATTAGAATTTATAGATTTACAGTGTGACTCTGCAGTAAAATGCAAGTTCTTGAAAATCCTACATTAATTGATTTTTATTCGAAGTCCGTGACCAAAGACAAGTATTCAGGTATTCGTAAACATGCACCCTTCCTGTCTTCTATCTTTGGTAGTACCTAAATACGTGAACAACTTTTTACGGATTGCAACAACGCAGATTAAACCGTATACTGAAGCTAATCAAGAATAAACAATGTCAAATTTTGCATTAAAAATAAAGTAACTACAATCTCCCGCCAGTAATGTAAGGTTTTATTTTTTTCCCCGTAAATGCATTTTGTAACATCGTTCTGTGCAATTATTTTTATACTTTTTCCCCATTGTTAAAAAAAAAAAAAAAAAAAAAAAAAAATGTTGCAAAAAGTTTAAATTCGATTTCCGTATGACGTTTTGGAACCAATTTATATATATACAAATCTGTAACACTAACTCTTCGCTTAGAATGAATTGTAGTCTTGCAAAACAAATCTCCCTTTTTTATATAAATTTTCTGACTATGCTGTTTTTTTTGACAGACATGTGGCCCGCGGATCTTTGTGAATTTATTGGTGTGGCTCTCGGACGTGAAAGGTTGAAGACCCCTAGTTTAGAGTATGATATATGTGTGTATGAAACAATTATAAGGTACCTTCTCCCTCCTTTCCCCATGCCTGTTGTGACTAATCTCACTTGCCTGACTTCATCAGAACAATTCCACGAATTCATCTTAGCAAAGAATACAAGAAAACGCTTGTCGTTGGCAAGAGCTTCGGCTCCATGTAGGTGACAGTACGATTTTGCCCAGTTCCACCCCAATTTTAAGGTAGAGCACTTCGGGAAAAAGGGTTCGAGGGTCTCCCATCCTCTTCTCCTACCACAAAACCACACGAGGGGACTTTCAGCTCGCCATATATTTAGAGTGCCCTCATGCCGCGAAGACACTACACATTTACAAACATCCATGCCTTCTCCGGCATTCGAACCCGGGCCCTTCGGTACGGTAGTCAGACCATTCCGTTCGGGCGACTTTGTGGCGTAAATGAAAGCACATTTGATGCGTATTCGGTCGGTCCGAAGTTCGAATCTCGGCGAGATCATTGGAGATTTCTTCAGTTTCCTGACGTAGAAAATTCTGAGTGACTTTAGAAGTGGCATTTTAAGATCAAAGAGGCTACTGACATTCAATTTAAAGAAAAAATTAATTTACAGAATTTTTAAACTTCTAATTCTGTTGAGAATTCTGCTTTAATTCTTCTTCCAATTAATTAATTAACTGAGCAAATTGGCTCTTAAAATAATTAGACCAACAACTTTAATTAATTAATTAATTAAACAGTTTCTGTTGTGTAGCCGAAATTTATAATAAGATTTAATTAATTTAATGACTCTACAACAGAAAGCATCGGTCGAATATGATCCCAGACCAAGTCACTATGCCCACTGAAATGCTGAAATCAATGTGATGGAATAAAAGAGTGACTGTCAGGGTCGGCGATAGGTTTCTGCGGCCGGCATAGTTTCTGAATTTAAAATTATGCCACCTTACGGAAATTCCTACGGAAATGGACGTCGGCGTTGTATCAGTGAAAAACATTCTGTATGGAAAGATCGAAATTTTGTGCCAAGTTTTTATTCTGAATATTCAAGGCAGAAATAAAGAAATACCACCGAGCTGAATAATATATAGACCTGCTCTCCATGATAAATGCCGATATATATATATTTTTTAATTCGTAGCTAGAGTCAGGAGATGAAACATGGCTTCTTGAATGTGATTCAGAAACGAAACAAAAGAATTGGTGTAGAAGCACAACGGATCAATAACGACGCGGTAATTTCAGAAATCTGTCAGGAAGATTAATAAAGAATAAAGAACCATTACTGCTTATTAATTATATCCTAATATCATGATAACAGATGTTTGTTATGCGAGCCTGCCGAGTCAGTTTGAGCAACTCATAAGATAAAAACGCCGTGGCAAACTCGGAAAAAAAAAATGTTTTGCTTTTACATGGCAAGCGTACCAAGTTCAGAGCCTGCCGAGTCAGTTTGAGCAACTCATAAGATAAAAACGCCGTGGCAAACTCGGAAAAAAAAAATGTTTTGCTTTTACATGGCAAGCGTACCAAGTTCAGAACTCCAAAACTACTATTTAGCAGTACGAATTTTAACTTTTCCCCCATCTACCGTATACACTATGCCTGTCCATAAATGACTTCTTTTGGTTAAAAAAAAGCTGATGTACACCACATAATTTCCTTGTAGAGAATATTAAATTATACGCATTTTTTCCTGCATTTAAATTTAAACTTACTTCATCGAATTTCATCACAGATATGTTTCTCATTCAATGAATTCCGTTCTCACTTCGCGGCAAGGCAAAAATACCATAAAACCTCAAAATATCTTTATTAAAAATTGAAAGGTATAGAAAAACATAAAACACCAAATACAGTTAAAACAATTAAAACAACAATTTTTACAAATAAAATTACAGTTTCTAGGCCAAAGCACGGCCAGCAGGCAGGAAGGCAGATTTTTCGGTGCGCAAAACTAAAAGTTTTCTTTTGCTCCCACTCGGCAAAAAGACACTGAAGGTGCAGAAAGACTTAATTCACTATATAAACAAATATGTCTACAATAATAAAAAAAAAAGACTTAAAATAACATTTAAATTACACTGCACTTAAAATAACATTAAAATTTTTGATAATTCTGCAACTATTGCATGCAGATTAATTAAACAACATAATACAATCATTCTTTAAACAAAAAATGTGCAATTTACCAACATATAATCAACATTTCTTTAGTGAATAAATTATTATATATAATATATATATATACTTTTGGTGCGGCCGATTGCAGCCAGAAAGGAAGTTGCACAACTAAATGGTATAGCAGTCCTATATACAAAATTTCAACGTTTTACTACTCCCCATTCTTGAGTTATGCGAGATACATACATACGTACATACAGACGCCACAAAAAAACTCTTCTGAATACTTTTTTAATCATTTTTATAACTCGTTTGGGGCAAAAGAGTCCTTTATTCTGTCCTTACGTATAGATGTCACGCAAAAACAGCGTTAAATTGCATTCGATAGCGGTAAAAATGGATATTTTCGTTGAAATATGTTACGCGGAATTTTTCGTGATTACAATACTTCCTTTACTTCGTACAAGGAAGTAAAAATTATCTCAGAGGATTTCTTATTGTTTCAAAAACTAAAGCATCATTAGCATGATTCACATTACAACGACGGTGATAATTTGAAAGACTCCATTCAGAAAAGTTTGAAGGCTGTAACAAAACATTTTTTTATTTTCATTTATTTTATTTATTTATTTTCTTCTCTAAAATCTGCTGTTAAACGAATCGCGAAAGGTGTGTCGAAGTCAAAGAAACCTGCAAAGAAAATTGAGAAAGTAATTTTAGATACAAGTGCGTTAGATTTAAACCTTATTGAACACCTCCACTCTTCGTAAATGGAAAATTTCATACATCAAAGTAAGACAGCCTTTAATACATTAATGTATTTAATGATATTTTATTTATTGAAAATCATATTAAATTACAGAATTTTGTTTTCCCGAAATTTTTTTTAACACTATGAAATTTCCCGAAATTTTTTTTAACACTATTTTTAACACTATTTTGTAACACCATATATTTGAACATGGGAAAAATAGAGATGATTTATGGGGTACCGTATCAGTGATAACTTAAATTAAGATCCTGTACTGTAATTTGATTATATGTCTTGCATATAAATTGTATAAATTGTGGTTCGAGCCTTTTTTCCACAAATGATTGTGAAAGAGAAGAGCATGCAGTTTGCATTTTTTTTAATGCAATTTACATTATCCTTTGTTTAAATCATTATTCTCTTTGAAATGTATCTGACCCGTGGCAGAAACTTTCTTCAGTTGTATGATTGATATAAAATCCACAGTCTGAAATGATCCTCTTCTTGGTCAATGGGATATTTCGCTCCAGTCTAGTCATAGAAAGTTGTTTAAAGTGTATCGGAGGGTCCCCAGTCTTATAAACTATTTCAGCACTATTCATTTCCTTCTGTTATATTTATTAGTTTTCTCATTCTTTATTGACATTATAGGATAGCTGTATTTTTCCATATTTTTTTTTGCCCAAAGGGCGTTAGCCCAGAAAGGCTATTAATTTCATTTTGGCATTTTGCACTGATTCACTTTATCCTTTGATTCACTTTTCAAACTGTTGCCACCAAATATTATCGCCATGTATTATAGTTAAAGAAACTAAATAATGAAGAATCTGCCTGAATGCATGAATGTTTCATTGTGAAAAAACAACTGTACCTAGAGCCATCCAATTTTGAATATCCTAGTCCTCCAATCGAATATGGATACCTGGAAGTCCGAATTTGGAATTTTTTTATGGTCTATTTCATATTTGGTAAAGCTTTAATGAATTTTTGATTAGAAAACTCAAAGATTTAAAAGCTAGCAATGGCAACACTGTACGGAAAAAAAACATTTATATATCCAGCGCGCGCGAGAGACTGTGTATGAGAAATTCTAAAGTTATGTAGTTTGGCTGTTTTTGAATATTTTGTGATTGTCAAATCGCCGAACCCTTAGAACTATAAGATTTTTAGGGGAACACAGTCCCACCCTTAGAAAAATATATTTAAAAATAATATTTATCATAAATCAACAGGTAATAAGTATTTTATATAAGGACTATTAAGGAAAAGTACTTATTAAAATATTTTAACATAAAATTAATGTAATTTATTCATTAACTCATGATTGAAGTATCACCTACCCTCGCATATATTTAATAACTGGGATGTACTTGCATTTTAAAGGTCATTAAATGCAGATTTATATTTTTTACACTAGTCAGCTAGTGACTAGTGTAAAAAACAGATGTCTCACTAGCTGACTAGTGTAATAAACACTAGTCAGCTAGTGAGAGTGCTTTATAATTTTCTTTACAAATTCTTATTTTGACTCGTCGAACCCCGGGGTTCTGCGGAAGACATTTGAAGATCACTTCTGTAGAACACCTCATAGGGAAAAAAAAGAAAAAGAAACTAAACTCATATATTAACTCATGTTTGGAGACTTCAGAATAAGACATTTCATTTCTTGTATCCTTTCTTGCAAGAGACCTCATAGCAGGGAATTTGATTTGATCGGTTTGTTCCTGTATGGGCCCTGAAAGAAAGACATTTGATTTTATAGATCTATCCTTGTAGAGGATATCAAAAATAAAAGTAATTTTATATGAATCTACTTTTTTAAGGGACTTTAGAAAGCGATATTCGATCTTATGCATCCACTCTTTTAGGAGACCTCACAGCATTTATTTAATGGGTCCATTTTTATAGAGGACAATTAAACAAAACATTTTTTATTGTATGGAAATTATTAAATTATTTTAAAAAGACTGCGAAATGAATGGCCTGATTTGATGGGTATATTCTCTATATAGGACTTAAACGCTGTAAGTTAACTTTTTCCCTCCTTCTAGTATGCCTTCGTAGTGTAACTGTAGCACACTCGGCGCGTATTCGAGAGGTCCAGGTTCGAATCCCGGGGAGAATACTGTTCATTTTTCATGTTTCCTGCTTCAAAATAACATAATGACTCTACAGCCCAAGAAACTGGATTCGATAGACAATTCTGAAACAAAACATTTAATGTATCTACACTTAGAGGAATTCCCCTAGAAAATTTTAAAGATTGCTTGTCTCTATTCCATGTCTTACAAATGCTTCAGAGAAGGTTGGCTTAAAGTATTTCGGGAAATTTCATTTAATACGCTTTGAAATGTTTTATTTTTCTAAAGAATGAGAAATAAACTACATTACCTTCCAACAGGTATAGGAAGAGCTACTGCATTCGATTTAGCTAAACGTGGTGCTCGTGTTCTTTTGGCGTGTCGAGATTTGGAAAAGACCGAGAAAGTAGCCGAGGAAATAAGATCTCAGACAAAGAATCCCAATGTAATTGTGAAGCACTTAGATCTCTGTTCCTTCAAATCTATCAGAAAATGCGCTGAAGATATTCTAAAGACTGAAGAGAGATTAGATGTCCTTATCAATAACGCAGGCGTTACAGGTAACCTTTAAACATATCTATTGATAATATTTGATAATTTAATATGTTCGTTTCTTTATTGTGAGACCAAAACAAAATAATTTCATTTCGAGTAAATTCATTTAATAAAAAGTTATAAGAAGAAAAGGTCCCGCTTGAAATCCAACATCTCTTACAATCTTTCTCAAATATTTTTTTCGTTTGGAAATTTTCCTAGATTGTTTTCAAACTCAGTTTTGAAAACTTATATTGTAATTCAGTTGTGATTAAGGTGTTTAATATGGGTACCATATCTAAATGCTGTATTCAAATCAAACATTAAATCTGTTTTTATGTGTTAAATTGCTAGATGTCGTGCTCTGAAAGGGATAAAAAGCGCTTTTTGATGCAAAATTGCTGATTTAACTAGTATAGGAAATTTTGTAGCTAGAATATGTACTTATGCTGAGATTGGTAATATTTGCTTCAAAAACACGTCTGCGAAGTGTCATATAACTATATATATTTTTTATTATTACTGTTGTTAAAAACTAAGATGAAGAATATAAGATATTTTTATGAATCTTCAAAACTTATTATAATGATCTTTTATTTTAATATGTAATTTTCTGTCTATTAGCTGATATTTCTTTTTAAATTTACTAAATATATATATATATATATATAACAAGTGTTCCGCCCTGTTTCAAATTATGCATTTTTGTGCTATTAAATGAGCTGCAGTTTTAATAACATTCTTTACTAAGTATTTGTTTAAAATGTATTTTTTAAATTCTTTCTTATTCACAGTGATAACATGCTAATAATGACGACAAATGGCGAAATATGGCGAAACGTATTTTGTGAAATATTTTTGTTTTATTGGTTTTTTGTGACAGATTATAAAGTATAATTTTAAGATTTCCATTTTAACTTTATTACATAATTTGGTAGTATAATTTTTTAGTAGTTTGAATATTTCTGGAATCGAGCGTTATAGTGCGTCATGCAGGGAAATAAATAAGTTGGATTATTTGAAGTTAAAGAAATAAAATAAATATGATAAAAACTTGTAGAACAAAAATCTTTCAAAAACTATTCGTTATAAGTGCTTTAATTAACATGTAATAAATGACACAAAATAGGTAACAACAATAAATTATGTATCAGCACCAACAAATTGTAAATTGAATAAATTTCTGTATAGTTAGGTCATCCAAAAACGAAAAGCTATTTTCTAGCTAGTTAAATAAAATATTACAAACACATTTTTAAGTTATTAAATTTGTCAATTTGTGCAACATATAAATGGAAATCTGTCCCTACATCTTTCAATGAAATATGGAAGTAATTTTTCGTAATGTATTGTTCTAATATCAGAATAACAAAGGCAGCTATTAGTTCACTTAGTGTGAGCCCAAAACCAATCAATTCTAAAACAAAGGAAGTAAATATTTAGAATTGCAAATACACTGAATGCCACTTAATTTTACGGACTGCATTTATAGTGAATACTGTGGTTGTTTTTAATCAGTCGTTTCACCTGCCAGTATGGATAATTCTGATTCAGATGCCTTTCATCGCGAACAAATAGTGGAACAAATAATTAAATAGGACATCGAATTTCCGAAATCACCAGAGAACTAGGATTTTCAAGGTCAACAGATTCGAGAGTATACCGAAAATACACGGAATAGTGGGGAAAAACCTAGCGATCGAGGAAACTGCAAAGGACAAATATCCTTGAACAAGCATGGTGCGAGACAACTCAGCCGTATTGTATGCAGCTTTCGAAGCCAAACATTAGCTCAAACTACCACCCATATGAATCAGGGCACTAGTTATAAACGGAACGTGTAACGCTTGCTTCACTGTATGGACTACAGAAGCCGTAGACCCACAAGAGTACCAATGATCAATGCACACCATCGGGCTGCATGTTTTGCTTGGGTAAGGAATACAAAGAATGTATTCTAGAGGACTGGAAACGAGTAGCATGGAGTGACGAGTCTCGATTCGAACTATTTAACATCGATGGGAGGATGAGAATATAGCGTCATATAGCGTCAGGCTCATGAAGCCAGGGATCCTGCATACCAGGTTGGAACTGTAAAAGGCTATGGCTGCTCATTCATGACCTGGAGTGTTTCCTCTGGGCAGTGTTTTGGAACTTTGCTACTTGTGACAATCTCTTTCAATGCGATTCCGTACGTAGAATTGCTAGAGGGTCACATATATTCATTTATGTTGTCCTATCATTCACACGGAAATGAAGTACTGCACCTCTCACAGGTTCTGCTTGGCTACTGCCTGGTTGATGAGAATTCCTCTGACATCTCTGTCATGATTTGGCCACCTAGAAGCCCTGACTTAAATTCTATTAAGTATCCATTAAAAAAATAATAACTCAGTTTATTCTATGTTGTTATCATATGTTTCATTCTCCTCAGAAAGATATGATAATACTCCCGATATATTTCAGACAACGGGAATTGAGAGAGCCTTTTACTAGACATCTGGTACGATACAAACCCGATGTAGACAGATGCTCGATGTTGCCCGTTTAATATTTGTCAAACTTCAATCTTTGAGATTGATTTAAGATTTTCTCAAGGTATATTGCGTTTTAAGATACAAAATGAGCAGTTCCGTTTCTACTCTTGCCTCTTGAATATTAAACAAGAAAGCAATAAAAAATAAAAACAATTTTAAAAAATCTGAAAGCTTTCAGATTTTATATTACACAGATTTACAATATTTATTTTATTTATATTAACGTTTTGTGTGTTACCTTTATTCGCTAAATATTATGGTCTTTGGGATGTATTGAGAAAAGTGTCAAAGCACATCACATAACACTAACGACTCTTGCTGAAATATGACAGCTCTAGCCGATGTTTGGCAATCCATTCCCGTGGAATGCTTCCGCCTTCAATGATTCTATGCCTTGTTGTGTGGCAGTCGTTATCAAGACCAGAGGAAGCCCAACTCGTTATTGACTTGCTATCCCTAATTCAATGGCACTTCAGTGTAATTCTTTACCGTCTTGGAATCCAACGAATAATTTATTGAAGATTTCTGCATAATTATTGCTCGTCTGGAGAAAAAAAAAAAAAAAAAAAAAAAAAAAAAATGCACCAGCTTTGGTCTTTGATGTTCGGTGGAGGATGACATTATGCTGTTGGGCTAGTTTTCATGATTCGAATCCAGCCTCTAAATTCCAGTGGCAAGCATGCTTAGTTCTGCAGATTGTACAGGCACTTTATCAAATCTTTTCACCAACAATACGGTGAATGAAGTCCTTATTTCCAGCAATATGATATGATTCTAATATTTTAATTAGCATCTTTTCTTGCATCAAGATGTATTGCATATTTTCATACAATAAATAGATCTTTGTAGGGATAATTTTATGAAGAGCATCTGTTGAAGAAATTGATGGAATGTTTAAAGCCTAGATCTCTAACTTAATTGAATAAATTTGGATGCCAGATTAGACGCCAGCTTGGAACACAAAGAATGGAGTAACGTAATTTAAACTGTCTTCCACCAAATGGTTATTAGATGCTCACTCTTATTGATGTTTTTAATTAAATTAGCAAAATTCAATATTTTACCCCAGAGGGCATTAGCCCAGAAGAGCTACTAATTTCTTCCTAAGTAATTTAAACTAATTCATTTTGCGTTGAAAACTTTAAAACTCTGAATCACTTTTCAAATTGTTGCCTCCAAATATTACAGCCCTGTATTACATTTAAAGAAATTAAATAATGAAGATTCTGCAGAAATGCATGTATGTTTCTCGCATTGTGATAAAACAACGGGACCTAGAGCCATCAAATTTTAAATAACGTACGTCTCTCCCTGAATATGGGCATCTGGAAGCACAAATTTGAAATATGGAATTTGTTTTATTATCTATTTCATATTTTGTAAAGCATGTATGACTTTCTGATTAAGAAACTCAACGATTTCAAAGCGAGCAATGGCAACACTGTACGGGAAAAGAAAAAAAAAAATCTCAAGCGCGCGAGACTGTGTATCGAAAATTGTAAAGATATGCTGATTTTAAATTAGTTTGCGATATTGCTGTTGAATTGAATTTTATGGTTTAAGTGCGAAGATCATAATATTTTGTGAATAAAGGTAACACACAAAACGTTAATATAAATAAAATAAATATTGTAAATCTGTGTAATATAAAATCTGAAAGCTTTCGGATTTTTTTTAATTGTTTTTATTTTTTATTGATTTTTTGTTTAAATATTCAAGAGGCAAGAGTAGAAACGGAACTGCTCATTTTGTATCTTAAAATGCAATATACCTTGAGAAAATCTTAAATCAGTCTCAAAGATTGAAGTTTGACAAATATTAAACTGGCAACATCGAGCATCTGTGACTGACCTGATATAAAATACCTTTCTAAGAATGGAAACTACGTCGGGTTTGTATCGTACCAGATGTCTATATACGTCTAGTATATAGAACGTCTAGTAAAAGGTTTTCTCAATTCCCGTTGTCTGAAATATATCGGGAGCATTATCATATGTTTCTGAGGAGAATGAAGCATATGATAACAACATAGAATAAACTGAATTATTATTATTTTTTTTTTTTTACCCCGAGGAAGTAGATGGCCATGTGTTTATACTTTTTATTTAAAGATCTTAAGTTTTACTACTTTTTTTTTTTTAAAACTTGGCCATTGTTACTTCTTTTAATTTTAATGAGCCATTATATCTGTCCGGCTCTTAAGTTTACTTTTTTCTTTTTTTTTTTTGAACTTTACTTTCTTTTTTTCCCTCTTCCGGCTAGAATTAAATGTGTTTACTTGTTTATGCAAATTATACTTGCTAACGCCCAAGTATTTAAGTTGTGGCTTTTTGCCAAGAGTTAGAGAGAGGGGGAGGAGCCTTGCCACTGTATTCCGCACGAGTTTTCAATCAGCTGCTGTCCGCCGTTAATGCCAGAGGTTTAGTCCTCTTGATATTTTAAAATGTATTGTAGTTCCGGCAGTTTACGTACTACATACGTAATAATTTAAAAGGCCAGTCTTAGCGTTAGGCATTTGTAAACTAATTCAAAGTTAGCTCCTTATTTAAAATTTTAGTTAGTAGTTTTATATTTTTACGTTCAGATCACAAGTGGTTGATATTTGTATCCCGAAGTGCGGGAGCACCTGTAATTTTATATAGAATAAAGGGTAAAATCAACCCTTCCTGCTTGTGTTGTCCATTCCACATATGTTTTGAACATAGCTTGAGTAAACTCCCTGTTCCCATTCAGGACACATCATGTTTCCTAAGCAAATTAAAAGACACACAAGTTCTGATAATATTAGTGAAATTTTTAATAAATTCTAATGAAAAAAAAAATCTGATGTGTACACCACATGACTTCCTTGTACGGAATATTAAATTATACGCATTTTTTCTTGCATTTCATTTACACTTATTGGATTGAATTAAATCTACTTCACCGACAGCGCATAAACCACAATAGAATAAATGCATTCTTTAAAATTCACTCTATTTGTTTACCATAGTGACCCTCTGGCGCTAGATTAATTTAACAGTATTATATTTCGTTCATACGTATTATAATTCAGAATGCACAAAATTTATATCATTTAAAAGAATTACCTAATCGTTGCCACATGTTCTATTCAAATACTGTAATAAATCTAGAACGATGTATAAAAGAAATTAATCAAACAAAACAAAAAAGAAACAGCTTTTCACAGACGATTCAGTATTTCTCAGTCAATTAATTCAGTTCTCACTTCGCGAAAAGGCAAAAATACATAAAAACTCAAAATATCTATATTAAAAATTACGAAGTAAATCTTAAACACTTTTTTTTCCTCGAAAAAATTCCAGAAACGATTAAGCATGATTTAATTGGCAATAATAAATGAAGTCGTTATCTTTGTTGTTGCGAAGCTAAGTTTCTCTAGATTGGCAACAAATCCACCAGTCTGCTGTTTCAAATGTAAACAAGCAATGGCCGCCATCAAAAAAATTATTAGGCTTAGCGGCACTTAAACAGCTTGGAAATTGTTGATAATTGTCAAAATTTTGCATTTTTAAAGGCATAAAATCCTTAACCTGAAGATAAGAACAACATAATTCAATCATTTTTAAAGCAAAAAATGTACAATTTACAAACATATAAGAGTAAAGAAACTGAGACCCCTGAGCCGGGTAACAAACTGGATATTTATATACATTTGGTGCGACTGATTGCAACCAAAATACGAGATGCACATCTACATGTTATAGCAGTCCTATACACAAAATTTCAACGTCCTGAGGCTACTCGTTTTTGAGTTATGCGAGATACATACGTATGTACGTACGTACATACGTTTGTACAGACACCACGAAAAATTCTCTTCAGAATTCATTTTAAAGCAGTTTTATAATTTTTTTGGAGGAAAAGAGTATTTTATTCTGTCCTTACGTACAGATATCATGCAAAAACATCGTTAAATTGCATTTGATAGCGGTCAAAATGGATATTTTCGTTGAAATATGCTGCCTGAAACTTTTCGCGACTACAATACTTCCTTTTTACTTCGTACAAGGAAGTAAAAAAAACTGAAAATGATTTATAAATTCATTTATGATGAAATTATTATTATTATTTCATTTCATGATGAAATGATAAAACAAACGCAATGATGTTCCTGATGCATTTCGAACAATTGTGTCAAAAATTTAAATTCGAATTAAAAAAAATAATGAATTATAATAAAATATCTTATCAAATATGCTGCATTTTAAACAAATTCATTTTATACCTTTTTGTTTTAGCCCAGGGTTTCTTAAACGTTTTCAGTCGCGACCCCTTTTTATCGCTGAGATTTTTTCGGGACCCCCAGGACCCTATAATATTTACTAAAACTTTGTGGGACCCCACATAAGTATTGCTCAAATCCGACACACGCGTGAGGAAAACCATCAATTTTTTCACTTGTACTGTAATATACTGCTGTAGTTTTAGGTCATTAACTTTGATAATTTCTAATTCTAAGACATAGAACAATGTGAACATTTTAAATAAGTAAAGGACAAAATGACAGCATCACATGCAAAGCAAGAAAAATGAACGTTTATATTATAAAAAGAATGCATCGAAACGTTTTCGTTTTTTTCTTTGTCTGTATTGTCTTATCTTTATCTATTTTCAGATACATTGTTTTAAAATATTTGGTAATTGTAAAATAACTATAATAAGTTAAAGAAATATCAAAACTGCTAAATTTTTTGGTGACCTCCAGTTTAAGAAACCCTGTTTTAGCCCAAAAGAGACGTTATTCCCGAATGGAATATTAGTCTTGAAACAGCATTTTGTGTTGAATCACTATAAACGGCGAATCACTTTTCCAATTTTGCGACCAAATATTAGCGCCCTGTATTATATTCAAAGAAATAAAATAATGAAGAATCTGCCTGAATGTGTGGATCTTTCTCGCATAGTGAAAAAACAACGCACATAGAGCCATCAAATTCTTAATAACGTAGTCCTGCACCCGAACTTGCACCTGGAAGCCCGAATTCTGAATTTTGAATTTGTTCTATTATCTGTTGCATATTTTGTAAAACTTTGATGTACGGTACGGGAAAAAAATCTTTTTTAATTCCATCGCGCGAGACTGTCTATCGAAAATTCTAAAGATATGCTGTTTTTAAATATTTTGTGAGTTTGCTCTTGAACAGAATTTTTTGTGGCGTACGCGTCAAGACGTGATATTTAATAAATAAAATAAACGCACAAAGCGGTAATAATAAAAAAGACAAAAGAAAGTTATGTAAAGCCATATTAGTAAGAAAACTGAACATAGCTATGATGAACTGAGGAAAGACTGGAAAAAAAAAAAAAATATGCTAACAGTTAACACATTGGGAAGTCTAAACATATATTGTTATGCTATTTCAAAATTTTTGTAATTTTGCTATTGAATTTTATATGGCGTATGGGCGAGATAATTATGCTTAATAATAAAGCTAAAAAGACAAAAAAAAAAAAAAAAAAAAGGATTAGTAGGAATGTGTGTAACAGCAGACTGGTAGACTGCGAGCTCAACGAGAGCGTAAAAATCCTTAACAAACCCTTTTAGGCGACCTTTAAAATCTGAAACTTTTCAGAATTATTTTTTTTTAAACAACCAGCGTAACTTTCAGGTATTTAAACTTCTTTGAATAAATCTTTGAAAAAATATAACACAAAGAAAAACATTGGCTACCACAAAATTGTTCAGCAATTAAACTGAAATTTTGTTCCTGTACAGAGCACGGATTATTTAGATTATGGCAAAACGTCCGAGAGCTATCTTCCTAAGAAAAGAAATGCCTTCGCGAAGGACATTTTAAAGTAAGTTTGTAGAGACATTAGGTATATTTTTTAGGAAGCAGGAAAGATGAAAAATTAGCAACGCCTTCGAGTGGGAATCGAACTGCTGACCTTTGAAGTACACGCCCAGCGTGCAGACCACCACACCACGAAGGCAGGCCGAGAAGGCTCGAGAAATACCTTATATACTCCCCCTTTTAAAGGGCGACTGTGGTTTTTAGGGGATCCAGTTGCCAAATCCTGGGTGTGGAGAGTCATCATCCATCACCCTTTTAGTTCGGGCGCCACTGTAGAGCTATTAGGTTAATTAGAAGTAGGAAAGATGAAAAATTAGCAACGCCTTCGCCGGAAAGCGGGCCACGGACATCTGGAATACACGCCCAGCGTGCAGACCACTACACCACGAAGGCGGAAGAAATACCTTATAAATTCACTATTTTTGTGACACGGCAGAAATTCTTAAATAGCCAGCTCGTTCGACAGGATTCTAAATAACGTTGAGATACTAACATTCAGCCGTTTCACCGCTTGGGGGCATCATACAGAATAAGTGCTGAAAAATTAAAGCATCTGCTTTCTGAATAGCTGCAATCGTGGAATCAATAACTATTTTCTATTTTTTGAGGAAATTTTGACAAGTTAGAATGTAATCCATGAAATGTTATCTTTCCTAATGTTTATGATTTGTTTATTTATTCATTTATTTTCTTGTTACCCAGGGAGACCACCAGAATTAACTGAAGATGGTTGTGAAAAAGTTATGCAATCCAATTACTTTGGACATTTTCTTTTTACACTGCTTTTAATAGGTAAGCACGTTATTTGAATTCTTTTAAGCTAGAATAAATATTGCTATCCGTAGTGTATTGAAAACCGAAATTTTTCTGAATACTTGATCCTTTTATTACTCGTAGAAATACCTCAACTCAGGCAAAGGTTTTAAAAAATCAGTCCTACGAATTTTATTATATATCTATGATAATTTAGAAATGAAAGTTTAAATAACCATACTAAAAAGGAAACTTTAGTGGCTATGAAAATTAAAATTGTGATTTTTTTGTTATATAATCGCAGTTGTGGACTTCCAGGTATATCTTTACTTAAGCCTAATTTACAGAATTAATGAACTTAATGAATCAATACAAACATCAAGAAGGGTGCACAATAATTTCAAAAATGCATTTCATCTACCTACATAAATTTATTTGGCAATAAAAAATAATTTTAAAAAAAGGTTACGGATTATATGCTCATGGCGCAAAAGCTTACATTAGAAGAGGTAAATTATACGATTGAATCAGAAGGTAATCGACCCCGTTCGAAGGGCATGTTTTCAAAATATTTGTTATATTTCTGGGGTTTATGAGATTTTTTTTTTTTTTATATGATGACAAAATACAGTCAAAAGTCGTTAATCCGGACTCGTCGGGACTTCGGCGATTCCGGATTATAGATCATCAGTTTAAATCTCGTAAGATGGCATGCAGAAATTCTAAAATTAAAAATATGAAACCGTAATTTATGAAATAAAGAACAATTATGATCTAAAGGGTATCAAAATTTACAGAAAAAAAGCTTAATATTTATTTTTTACTTTATTAAACATTTCTTTCAATGTAAGTTGTTTAAGTTGCTTCGTTTTATGTGATAATACTTTCTCTTTAATTCAATAAACAGACATAATTTCTTGTTCAGTTACAAAGTTCCGCTGTTCAAGTCCCGTTAATTGCTGTGCCGAGAATACCGACTAACTTGTCAATCGAAATTTTTTTTTCGTTTTCACTAACCTCTCTGTCACATTCTTCATGTCTTTATCCATTTTTTTGCAGCAATTCCACTTTTTGTTTGTTGGACATCGAAACATACTTTCGTTTTGTAGATCCTTTGGAAGTTCCAGCATCGGAAATTCTATTTGACATAATCGAAAGTTCAAGTTTACTTTTATAAAATTGCTCTTACAGTCTGCAAAAAATAATAAGCGGGATCCAGTTCGAAGATTAAGGAACAACGCAATAATTAACATTAACTGAAATAGATAATTAGATAATTTTAGCTTACACCGTCCGTTATACATTAAACGCACTTGCGCATACGCATATGCGCAGTAGCCAAGGTCTTGCGCGCATGCGTAAAACGCCTGTGCGCATGTGCCAACGCGGCGCATGCGTAGAAAGTTTTTAGCTTTGAGGTCCGGATTATAGATCATTTCGGATTATGGGTGTCCGAATTAACGACTTTTGACTGTAGTGCTGATAAAAACATATTTTTTATTTTATGGTATATATACTAACTATAAGCATACATTGAAGTACGATAATTGGAAAATGACTCAGTTGTAATGTATAGCTAAATATGTTAGTCAACACTCAAAAATTAAAAAAAAAGAAAAAAAAATATATACACTACGGAAGAAAAAAAAATGATATAATTTAAATTCTATAAAGCTAATTTTTTAGTTTTTACTCTACATCATGCATAATAATGTATAAACCTTGTGCAAAATTTCAAGTGATTCTGTAAGGAACTTTTGAAGTTATGGTTGCTGTGAATGTAAATGATAAAAAGCAATTAATCTAAAAATCGCACTTAGTTTTCAGATTAACATTACATAACATATATACTCAACTATTCTCGTTGTCTCACGAAAATGAGAAACTACATAATAAAAATACTTAGCCAGATTCTTCAAACATATTTATATGCTTAAAATTATTGTATTAAAAAATAATGTATAAAAGGGGGAAAACTGCCTCTTTAATTTGCCCTTTAAACTTTCGGTTTGGAAGACAGTAACTTCCGGTTTGTCGTCTGTCAGTAAAACTCAAGGAGGTTAGAATAAAAGGAGGGAGGGTTCGCAGTTTCCTCCACTATCGGGGAATGAAACTCCACCGAACAAGCGGCGTCCATGTTTTGTGACTTCAAAAACATTGCATTACGGCAGTGACATGTACGTGTTTTTCTAAGCTGTTCCCTTGAATTTATTTTCCAGTAAAAATATGTTAAATTTATAATGAAATGCCCTCGCTATTGTTGAAATTTTTGTTTTAAAGTAATAAAGTGATATCCATAATTTTACTATGTACAGCAAATTATTAAGAAAGTTTCGAAATCTAAATGCATGCGCATAACATTAAAGCCTTTAAAAAAATGATGATGTTTCTGCACATTTCACGGATTTGCTTAGGTTAGAAAATAAATCTTAATAAAATAAAACAGATTTATGTGAATTCAATGATTTCAGTTTATGCGCATTTCATATTTATTAATCTCAAAGAAACTGCCTTTAATTAAGTTGAATTACAGAAATACACCTATATAATTTTTTGGGATACATCTTTCCACATGTTCAATTGTGTAAATATTTTACTTACTTTTATCACTATACTGCCCAGAAATTTGTAAGTTTTATGCAAAAAATTTTTAACAACAGAACAGTATATCTTAACTTAAATTAATAATAATTAATATATAAAGAAAAGCATTGCTTTATTTTAACTCCTTTACAATTAATAAAAATAGTAACAATTGATTTCTTACTTTTCATGAAAGTTTATAAAACGAATTAACTAAAACGTTCAATTATACAATTGAAAAATCCTACTATATAGCATTGTATCTTAAGGAACGAAGATACCAGCTATAAACCGAAACATTAAAATGTATTTAACATATTTTGATTATAGTTATATTACATAACCTATTTTGATTATTTAAGTTCTTTTTTTTTCACATCTGGAAAGAAAACGACATTACATTGTGATATTTTTTTGACATAGTTGTCATATTACATAAAAAAAGAAAATCAATACTTACGTGTGAAAAATAATGCCCGGAATTTTTTTTGAGAATCTATTTGTGCATCCATATGCAACACAAGCTGACATGCTTCAAAAAGAAAAGAAAAAAATGTTGCAATGACAGACTTCCTTGCACAAGTCACGGTGATAACAGGAAGATGGCCACCAAGCTTCACCGTTTGAGTTGAACCTTCCCTCCTTCTATTCTAACCTCCTTGGTAAAACTAGTATATCTCCATTTCTAATCAATATATCAAGAAAAGAAAAATTGTTTTTGATAGCTAAGAATGCGGACTTTAATACCACATTTAATGACTCCTTTTAAAAATGTTTAAAAAAAGACAGTTTAAGGGTTATTATGAAGTTCTTATATAGGTTACAATTTTATCTTATGTAGGAACATTTAAACAAATCTTGTTTTGAATAACAATTATACAAACTGCACTCAGTTAAATACAAAAATAATATTTGAAATCATCTTTTTAGGGATAAGGAATTGGCGAAAAAAATCCCAAGCCCATCTTAACGTCAAAACAAAATGTTGCAGAGTGCAAATCAAAACACAGGCTAGATTTTGTTGCTATGTCCGAATGACAGCATAATTTCTTTTTGCAGGCATTTGCACACATGCCTTTGCAAGCATGTATTGCAAAGCCGCAAAGAAAAAAAGGAGCATAGGATATACACTTTCCCTAACACAAATTGGGCAATAAGTAAGTAAAAGCACACAGATAGGAATGCATCATCCAAGTTAAAGCAGTCTTAAGATCTTAAGCACAGAATGCTTTTTACATCTCCCATTGCCAGCCTTACCAAAAGGGAACTTAACGTGGTCAACCAGCGATGGTAGAGCTTAAAGATTAAAAAGAAACTTGTAAAAGTAATTGTAGAAAGAAAAAGATTAATAAGTATTAGAAATCGAAAGCGCTAAAAAGCCAGGTGAGAACAGCAAGGTGCACCTTCCCTCAATCGTTTTAATTGGTTAACACGTTGAGCGCAGCGCAGAATTTGCTGTCCTTTCCATTCAGCCGGCAGCGAGCTAAGCCGTATTTTTTTTTTTTTTTTTTTTTTTTTTAGAATGTTTCAATACATTTCATTAAAACTAAATTTGATCACATTTCATTGAGACTATATTTATTTTTTAACTTTAATGCTGTCGGTCCTGCGGACTGATGCCAGCCAAACGAAAATTCCAGTGCTGGTCCCCAGGGACCGACGCCGGCCACACGGAAAGTTCACTGCAAGTCCCCAGGGACCGGCGCTGCTTTCAACATGTTAAAAACGGGTGTCTGCTGTTTTAGAAAGTGAATTTTCGAAAAGGGGATGAAACACGAAATCAGGAGCGACAGCAGAGGGCGAGTGAGTACGGCAAAGAATATGTATTGTTAGACGTTCTTTGAGTACGGTTTCCAATACAAAATGATTTGACATTAAAGCAATATTGTGGCATAGGCGAGAATGAAGCCTTCTGTAACATGGCCTTTTTGTCTAAATATTTTGCGACGCCGGGTTTGTATCTTAAGTCATTGTAAATGTAAATATATTATTTAATATAAAAAAAAATTATTTTAAAATTGAAAATATTCTGAAAATGTTTTGTAAGGTTTATGTTAATTTTATTAACAGTTAAATTTTAAGTTCCTTTCCTCTCAAATTCTTAACTTCAATTTACTACTTCCGGCCAGAACGTAGTTTTGGAATCACTCTGAATACTTAATGAGGAGGAGCGGTATTTAAACCGAGAAGTCTACTTTCTGAGTTAGAGAGTTTCTGATTTGCGCGCGTCTGCCTTTTGGCTACTCTTTCTCAAAGCTGTTATTACGCTCGGCCGTACTCAGGCCCTTGATAAGCTTCGTAGTCAAATAGAGTTAAGGGGCCAACTCGATTAAAATCTTGATAGCTTCGGCTATATCTCTTTAGTTAACCTTAGTTTTAGTTTATTTCTTAGTCTCTTAAGTTCAAGCCCAAGTGTCGGCTTTTATTCAACACTCCAAGACGGAGTTTTGTTAAATTTTATTGGAATAATAAACGGTTAGTTACACTTCCATCTTGTTGTTTCTTGTCACACGAACTTTAAACAATTATTCGCTAACTAGTTCTTAAGATTCGTCACTTTCTACAGTAACTGAGAAATACACTAGTGAGAATCTTACATTTTTATTAGAAAAAAGAAATTTAGATTCTTTAAAAATGTATTTTTAAATATCCTCCCTTATCTATATCATTTCGTACATATTCACATTTTATGAAATACAGTATTTTTGATTTGATTTTATAGTTTTTTGCCTACCTAAAATTAATTCCTTTTCCTTTGTAGATCTGTTAAAGAAAAGTGCTCCAAGTCGCATTATAAATGTGTCATCTCTTGCACATGCATTCGCAAAACTTAATCTAGAAGACTTAAAGAATGAAAAGCGTCTTTTAGACATGAACGTTTATGCCAACTCAAAGCTAGCCAATATTCTCTTCTCTCAAGAACTCGCATCCAAATTACATGGAACAGGTAGTACACCTTTTTTTAGTTAAGGTCAGCCTTCTAAACTACAACTCTTACGAATTTCGTACGTATATAGATAAGTAAAATTTTGTGTGAAATAGTCGTATTTTTCTGCATAATGTAACATGAAAAGCTGAGACAAACGATGCTATGCCGGAAAAATAAGAATATAGGGGCAAGTCTATTTAACATTGAGTAAATGGCTATCTCGTTAATTTGGTGAGATACCATCAAACTGGCAACGGTTTGAAAGACTAATTTCTGTCGTCAAATCGCCATATTGGGGCTCCACCAAATTTGGGCTCAAAAATCGATCTTCTAAATTTGGCGATATTTGGGAGATCATTTGGCAACATTTGGGTCCGGTTCCTGTATAACTGTAATGGATATTGTATATGAATAACTGTAATTGATGCTCTGTGTAATTGTAACCGTATTCGGCCCTGATATGCCTTCCAATAATTTTGAGGGTTCTACTCTTATATGCACCCTAAGATCACCAAATGTGGCGATATGTGTTCTGCGCTGGTTTTTGGCGCAATTGCATGTTGTATGGCAACCCTTTTGACGTTTAAAATTCTTTTGCTGGAGTGATTTAATTGCTCGTTGGTTCATGTGTGCGTGTTTTGAATTGGCCTATGTTGCAATGAGAGACGTGGTTGCAAGGGGTCTGGGAGATTATTTTTAGTGGCTGTGCATGATAGACGTAAGGAAACGCTGATGCAATGTATTAAAGAGTGGATTGAGCCTTGTACAACTATTTTTTCGGATGGCTGGAAATCTTACAAGGATTTAGGAAAAGAAGGTTTTGAACATTTATTTGTGAACCATAGTATGAATTTTGCGGATAGCGAGTCTGGCTGTCATATAAATACCATAGAGAGTACGTGGCGGCATGTTAAAGCTACGTTCTGCTGTCCGAAAAAACAAATATTATGGTAAGTGCATTTTATTTTATGTTTTTAGTTGATTTATGTAAGTGCACGATGAAGTGTGATGATTTATTTTTTTTTTTTTTTTTTTTTTTTTTTTTTTTTTTTTTTTTTTTTTTTTTTTGTTTTTTTTTTTTTTTTTTTTTTTTTTTTTTTTTTTTTTTTTTTTTTTTTTTTTTTTTTTTTGTTTTTTGTTTTTTTTTTTTTTTTTTTTTTTTTTTTTTTTTTTTTTTTTTTTTTTTTTTTTTTTTTTTTTTTTTTGTTTTTTTTTTTTTTTTTTTTTTTTTTTTTTTTTTTTTTTTTTTTTTTAATTTTTTAAGTTTAAACAGAATCGATTGACGAAGGGTATTTTTTTAAAAAACATATTGCTGTGTACATGGCTTCTTGTCAAATATTTTTTGTTAGAAATTTTACGTTTTTGCTATCTAAATTTTTTGTTTTTGTTTCAGATTTTTAGCTTAAATTGTGTGTTCAAAACGTGGTTTTTGGAGACATTTTAGGCTTAAAGTTCGAAATGTAGACAAAAAATTTAGATAGTAATATGACACCATAGAGTTTGTCGTCGCATTTGGCGACCTGAGTGCGCATATAAGAGTAGTCATTTCGAGAAGCAGAAGGTGCTAGAAATATTTCGGCGGGCGGGTGAAAACTATATTAGAGAGAGCATCCGTTTTTCTAGTGGTGAGTAGTCAGTTCAGAGTGACTTCGAACTATTGAGAAGATTTAGATACGTTTTGCATTTCATTGTGTTTAACGTTTTTAACAGTTTGAAGTGTAACTACTGATTGTACTGTGTGATACTGTGAATACCTGTAGGAGTATTTCTGTGGAAAGTTCTAGAACTTTAAAGTGTTTCTGTTGATAAAATAAATTTTATCAACCTATCATCGGTCCTGTGTGCATTCAATATATTATGAACAGGTATGCAAGCAAAAGTACTTTTTAAGGGGTTTAAGAAATTAAAAATAAATATGAAAATGTTGTAAAAGAAATATGTGAAATTTTCCTGTTAAAAAAACATGCATCCTAAAAATATATTTGTAGAAAGCAACTGTGAACCGAGAAGTGGACATTATTATTGATTAGAATTACAAGCTTGTTGCTTAAATTTCAAAACTGGCAGCGATTACCCTGAAAACTGAACTAAATTGAGCAAGGAATTTTAATAAGATAAACTGCCTGACAAGAACTAGGGGAAGGAAAAAAACATATTTCGAGAATGTCTTTCACTTTGGATTCTTTCGTGTGCATATACTCTTAGATCGAACACATGGGGAAGAAGACCACAAAAACTCCCATGCAGCCAGCTCGTTCGCCTAGAAGCGAACCCAGGTCAGAGCTACAACATTCAGCAGTTAACCGCTCGGCCACTGGTGAGTATATGGTTATAAAATGAAGTCTGTGACTTAACAGTTACCCGCTATTGTGCAGTGGTTAAGGTAAATATATCGAGAGAAAAAGCTCGAACACAAACAGAGTTAGGACTTTCCTTCCATTCATAATAGCATCACTTAAAATAATAATAATAATAATAATAAAAGAAGAATCGTGTGTCAGATGGTTTATCTGATAACTGCCTTTTTTTCTATGTATTATTTTGCTAAATAATCCTAAGACTTCTTCTATGTTTTATATATCTATGAATATGAAAAATATGTATGCTTTCAATCGTACATTATATGTTGGGTAATCTTTTAAATTGTGCATATACACTGGTGTGCAAAAATTAAGGACAAAGTCGAAAATTAGCATATCAGCTGAACGAAGAGGCAGAGCGGACAGAAAGACCAATCAGGTGATTAAGTAAGGTGATGTACGGTAGCACATGCGCAGATATGCAGGTAGACGTAATGGGGTAGTGTCTGAGTAGTATAAAGCATGTTGTCAGTGTAAGATCAGTATTTCAGTGTAAGATCAGATCTACAGGTGTTATACTGTGGCAAAGAGATTGCACGCCGTATAGCAGTTAAAATCACACCGAGTTGCTGCCTCAGCGAGAAATGGCGAATAATCAATCTGTTAGATGACATCTGGATGCTTTTACCCGAGGTCGAAGTTGGAGGAAGGCCGCAGTGTGACAGGTGTGGCTGCAGAGTTCGGAATTGCTCACAGCATCGTTTCACGACTTTGGAGACAATTTCAACAATTTCAAACTACAGGAACACAGCTATCCGGGGGTTTAGTAGTGGTCGTCCACGAGAAATCACACCCGCAGATGACCGGTATATTGCCTTACAGACCAGAAGAAACAGGCGGCAGACAGCGGGAGAAATCGCTAGACACACGACACAGGCGACTGGACGACCGATATAGCATTTTACCGTGGCCAGAAGACTGCACTGTGGTGGTCTGTTTGCACGATGCCCTGTACAGTGTGTACCTCTAACACCTGCCCATCGGAGAAGGTGTTCTCTGTGGTGCCGGGAACACTGGAATTGGAGAGACAATGAATGGGGACGAGTACTCTTTACAGATGAGAGTAGATTCAGTCTGAGTAGCGATTCTCATCGCATACTCATCTGGAGAGAGCGGGGAAGCCGCAATCATCCCTCGAACATCATTGAAAGGGACAGGCATGGAGGTGGCGGTGTTCTCGTTTGGGGAGGCATCATGCTTGGTAGTCGTACAGACCTTCACATCTTCGATGCAGGTTCAGTCAACGGGACCCGTTATTGTAACGAGATTCTTCTTCCATATGTGCGTCTTTTTAGAGGCGCTATGGGTCCGCAGTTCCTTTTCATGGACAACAATGCACCATGTCGTCGCACAGTAGCTGCCGAACAGCTCTTAGAGAGTGAGGATATTGAACGTATGGATTGGCCGGTACGATCATCTCCGGATCTCAATCCCATCGAGCATGTATGGGATTTTCTAGGCAGTTTCTAGGCAGACGCTTGGCAGCTCGTACCTTACCACCAGTAACGATTCGGAGCTTCGATTTTTTCGATTGGCGCTGCAAGATGAATGGGCAGCATGCAATGCCTCAATAACTCATTGACACCCTCATTCTCAGCATGGATGGGCAGACACTGTGAAACCTGCCTAGCAGTCAGGGAAGATCATATCCCCTATTAAAGACCGGATGTTTCTTGCTGGACAAACACCCATCACAGGGATGTTTCGGCCTTCAGTCGCAGCTTTGCATTGCGCTCCATGCTACTTTTTTTCAATAAAGCTTCTTCTTTTTATCCCTCTGATTTTTCTCTTTTAGTAAGTGTTGCTGACATTACTCATGTCCTTACGTATTGGGGATCTTACGGTATTAAATTTGTTGATTTGGAAAGCTTTTGTACAAAGTTATATTGAAAAATCCGTCTCGTCCTTAATTTTTGCACACCAGTGTATTTTATCATTTAAAATGTATTAATTAAAACATAATAATACAGTAGACGAGGCTAACCAAAGTAATACTGGGGATGATGTGCACAGTTAATACAAAATCTCAGTTAATCTGAAGAAAAACTAAAAAACACGTGAATGAGGAATAATATTATGATAAGTAGAGAAATACTATTGAGAATTTACCTATAGTTTTAAATTAATCTCAAGAATAAGTTTACTAAGCTATATAAATCAAATCAATGTTCAAAGCAGAAACAGCACGCTATGAATATCATTAGAAAGGAAGGAACGTGGTAATAGTCTAAATAAGGATTAAAGAATAGCACTTACAAGAAAACTTGTTGCTGTGACTTATTTCATTTCACTAACAGCGGCATCCGGAATATGTATACAAATTTTATCATAATTTAAAGAAGAATTTCCTGAGTATACATATCCAAGGATCTCAAAACCCTCTTGTCCCTGTCAGCAAACTGCTCGAGAAGACTTTATATGACGCGTTTAAGCCAAACTGATCATTGTTTGTTCGTAACCAGAAAATGCAAAAATAAAAGACATTTTCACCATTTGCGAATTTCAGATCGGTGATATGCGTCCTGCCAAACTGCTTGCCAAAATGATTCGTCTTACTGCTGACTATCTTACTGAAACTGTTATGATCATTGTGGCTCAGCTGCTTTCCAATCCTCCTTCAAGCAATCCTTGCTACCAGAATGAGACTCTCTTCCAAGTAGCTCTCTTAGCCTCTGAGATGTATGATCCGGTACTCAACAAATCCAAAAATGGTGCAACAATATAGTACCACTGTTGAGAAATTACAGATACAGATCAAGGAGCTTTCTAAACAAACTGTGACTCTTGGAGCTAGATAGCACAACAGATCAACAGTAGATTTTCATCAAGAAGTATTCACCATGCTGGCTACCTTGATTTGCTGCTAACTAAGTCAAACTATGTAATCTTTATTGTAGTTCAACTGCTTACCAAATCATACTTAGGCAATCCTTGCTGGCAATAGTTTTCTGTCCCATTTAGCTCATATGGCTGACAATATATAAGCATTGTTTAGTACTCAATAAATTCGTGTGATGCAACAAACTCCACTGTTGAGAAGCTACAAATTGAGATCAAGGAACAGTAAGAGTTTTGGATGCGGCTCGGTGTTGGATCTTACAATACGTAACTCCCAGTAATCAACTTTATTAACACAACTTATCCATAAGGACACAGAAGCAACTACAGGATGTTCGAACTTTATAGAACTGATGATAAAGGCAATGTATTGTGAGCTGGCGGCACTCGCAGCTGAACATGATATAAACCACAGAACTTTCTAAACAAATTTCGGTTCTTACAGATAGATGTCATTGATCATCAGGTAGATTCCCCGCGAGAAATTGTTCTCTCAGCCAGTAGCGTAGCAGTTTCAGACGATGTTACAAACAAAATGAACAAAACAATTTTTTTATTATTATTCAAATTTTTGCCTAACACCTGGTACTGTACTCACTCTTGTTTCAAGCACTTCGAGAAATTAGATTTGTGGTTCGTAATAACTAACCGCCAAAGACCATACAGACTTGAGCTGCATAATTCATTTCAAAGGGATATCACAGAAGCTTTTCCACTTTGAAACCAATAACAAGTCAGCGGGATGTTGTGCACTTGTTTGAATGTTTTATAATAATGAGTTTTTTTATTTTAAGATTTAGTATTATTTTAATATGTTATTTCGTCTTGCACGAGTATGAAGTGCTGTTATCTAAAAGGCCAGCAAGCAATCTGTTTTCCATTGGTTTGTTGAATTTTGTTGTGGAATTTTGGTGAGCATATTTTAGCATTTAATTTTACATCTGGCATTTGTTTCAAGTACTTTACATGGTACTATTATATACTGTTTTGTAGTTATAGGTGTGTAAATTTACTTTCCAGTAAATTCAGGTGAGCATATACGTATTGTGAATAATTTGATTGCCCAACAGATGATAGCACTTGTCAAGCTAATTTTTGTTTTGTAATTGCCATGTCTTATAAATTAGCATGCTTGGTCAGTTAGAACCGAAACTGTGCATTACAGTGAATTGCATGTTGTGTAAGTTTGTACTTGGAATGAAGTGCATATAAAATATACATCTTTGTAAATGGAATCTTTTAACTAACGTGACATGCACAGGATGTGTGCAAACTTGAATTAGCTCTTTCATTTAGCATGGCAGTGACTGTGTCAGATGTCCTCCAACAAACAAGAACACCCTCATCTCTGCACTGACAGAGGAGTGGAATCAGTTTCCTCAACGGCTGGTAGATAATATTTTGCACAGCTACGCACTCTACGGTGCTGACCCTTTCTTAAACGTGTCTGCTGTCGTTCGTACACATTTTTCTGTTTCTCCGTACACAGCATTAAAAGAAAACTTTTTTACTTTTGGATGTTTCAAAAACCTTTTGTATTCTCTTAAACTATAAATGTCCTTTACTCTAATATCCAAACAATATTTTATCGTGCTTAGCCTCCACTATCTCTTAATATCATGCTACATTGCAATTTCAGATCTATCCTTAGCAATTGTCCAGCAGTGTATATTATAATGTTTTCTCACTGGTTTCCTTAATATTAAAAAGTTCAAATTAAAAGATTTTATCTGTTAGTTTGAGATAATTTTCAGACTTTGTAAACGTACTAAATTTTTTACTTAATTTTGCATGAATCATGAAAAGAATTAATTTCATAAAACATTTTAAAATATTTTGATTTCTCATTTTTTAGGTGTTACTGTAAACAGCTTGCATCCAGGTGCAGTAAAGACAAATATTTTGTCAGGTCCCACCACCTTCTTAATTTTGCTCTCTAAGATTTTATTCATCGTTGTTGGAAAGGTATGTTTACTTGTATTTTATTTTTTAATATTTGATTCAATTGCTATCTTTTGGATTTGAGATAAATACGATTTTCTTTCAGTCATGCGAGGAAGGAGCTCAAACTACCATACACTTGGCTGTAGATCCTCGTTTGGAAAAAGTTACTGGAAAATATTTTTCGGACTGCAAAGAAGTTAAACCAAGTGCAAAAGCCTTAGACAAAGAATTGGCAAAACATTTGTTTGAAATTACAGAAAAGATTGTTGGAGTTTCATTTCCTAAAACAAAATTTTAAAATGCTATTTTATATTTTGCTGCAAGATTCTTTTGTTTTTGAGATCTTTATGTTCAAGATACAATTAAATTTTGTTAAACGTAATGTTTTAGTTAATAATTAATAGTTAAATATACGATGTCATTACAGAATGCAAAAGATAACTCTATCTATGCAAATTTCATATTTTACTGTATTTTATGTTTTAAAATTTATAGATAATTAAAATGAGTTAATGGAGCTAAACACCTTCATGGATCTTGTAATCTCAACTAGAAAATATACTTTATTACACAATATTTAAAAATACGAACTCTAAACCTAAACCCTATTTATTACCTAACCTATTTATCTCCCCTAATTTCCACTGAATATTTCATAAAAGGCATAACAGTCTTTCAAAAAAAAAAAAAGATTTAAAAAAATATGTTCTGTTTGCCAGACGAGGATCAAGCCCAGTTTGTTTTATCTCTGTTGCTATCAAGAGATTTTTATAATATACATTTGTTTAAGATAAATTCTGCAGAAATTCAGTATCTTTCATGATTTTTCAAATGATCCATATGTGAGTACGTTGTGAATTTTAACTGAAAATCCAACTTAAAAGCAGATAAATTAGTAATACGAGTATTTCACTGATTACCAGAAAACAAAAACTCCCTATGACTGTAATTTGATGGGCATTTTTCTAAAACAATCCTCAATAATTCTAGGAATGTATATGGCTCCTTCCTTAAAAAAAAAAAAAAAAAAAAAAAGTAATAGCACAAAGCAAATCTTGAATCTTTTAGTCACAAATATATTGATGGATATGTGAATGTTGATGTGGTTTATTTAATAAATCATGAAATTAAATTGTGATTACTATTCTTTTGTAAAATATGAGAGTTGTAGATAGAAATAAACAAAAGATTAAAGTTTTTTCTAATTCAAATTGATAAAAAGCAATTTATTATAAAATAAATATTCAGCATCATCTATTCTACATATGACAAAGGATGAAGGCTTGAGATATATATTTATATAAGGATATAGGCACCATACAATTTGATTCCAAGATGCTGTGGTCCCCTACATACACAGGCAGTTGACACAAGATGAGGCACTTTGGTTTTGACTAGATTTGTTAAGCATAATATTAGGTCACATGGCTGAACTTCCATGATGGCTAGAGGCTTTGATTGTGGTAAATTATCATATAGCATTGTTATATAGACAAAATACTGCAAGAATAACTGCCTAAATACAAAAATACAAATGCTTATTCATACATGAATACGAAAATAGGGTGAATTAGATCTGTGAACACACAAAGGCACCTTTTTGGTGGAGAACACTGACCAGATAAATACAAATGAGTTACAATGAAAATGAAAACAGTTGAAAGAGACCGTTACATCTAACAGACATATCAGCCATATCGCACAACATTAAGTGGGTAATACTTGTTATACATATACATAACACAATATACGAACCTAAACACGTTTTTAAAGAAACAGAACAAAAAAGATGTATTGAAAACAGAAAAGACACTACTATTGAAAAACGCATAACTATAACCTCAATATATTTTACTAACTCTTAATAATATCATTGAAATAATATGAGGTTTTTCTGAACATCCCACATCAATATACTGCAATCAAGAGCCATTTATACTCATTACATATGAAAATATAGGTAGCTACATGAATTTTTTTAAGTAAAAGACAATTTCCTTTATAATATTCATATGTAATTATAAAAATAACCACTCCATTCATACATTTTAATAATTATTTTCTACTCTACTTAATTAAACAGACTTATACTACTAAAAATAACAAACTGAATTCACAGTCCATTCATACTAGTGTAAAATGATACAATATAATTCACGGTGGCTAAAATACAGTGCTTTATAAAAACATTGCTTAAATAAAAGTAAGTCATATCAAAATTGCATATAAATGTATTCATAAAATGCAAATTTCAATCAACATCTGACCTATATCCTTCTATAACAGCCTAATTTAAAAACACTTGATACACATGAAGTCTATTTTCTTTATAAGTCTATTTTCTTCACAATGTTAACCTTTAAAATATATCTTGTTACTTGAATTACCAAGTGAAGGGTTTCATTCCTTATTCCCATCATGCTTAAGTTGTTTCCAAAAGAAGAGAATCCACAAGCAACTTTCATGAAGAATGAAGGCTACTGTGGGCAACATCAACTGATGCTGCAGTCTTGATTGTTCTGAAGAATCTGTTCCAGTTCTAGCAGCTGCCCCATAAAGTGGAGGTTGGGAGAGATAATGGGTCGCTTGCTCTTGACCATCTGATAGGCTTCCATTGAGGACATGCTCGTGTGGTACATAAGGTAACCAATAACAATTGTGGCAGAACGAGATACACCTGCTTGGCAGTGCACCAAGACGGCACTGTTCCGCTGACGGGCTTCATCTGCAATGCAAACATAAAATCATAAATTAAACGACTTCATAATATATAAAATGTTTATGAAAGAAAAGAAATATTAGTTTATGTTATATATATATATAAATCTACAATGAATAACTACTTAGTCTAAATAAAATGCTGGTTGCTTAGAAAATGTCTAACTGATAATCTACCTTCATCTACTCTGAATTCCTGATTATTGGTACGTCAACCAGTGAAACGTTTATAATCTTTCAAAGCTTATATTTGAATAATAATTTAAGAAATTTTGACCAAAAAAATCATGATTTTTGCCTTTCAATGGTAAGACTTTGAAGTTAAAATACTTGAACGATAATTATGTCTAACCAGGGGAGATATTTCTACTATAGTATAACAGAATTATCAACAACGAAAAGCAGATTTGGAATTTTTTAAAATCATTTTTTATGTTGAACTTATAAATTTTAGCGCAGATGTGCAAATAAAAGTCGCAGCATAAATACAAGAACACTGAAAGGAATTCAAATTCATCAGGTGAAGATGTTCTGAAGACAGTGACTCTAGAAAAGAAAGATGCAACAGCACGTTGGGGGGGGGGAACTGCAATGTTAAAGAGGAACAAGAATTAGCCACTGTGCCACACAAGAACGTATATACAAGCTGCTAGTTCAAATTTACCGATTCTATAGTTTTCGGCAATATTCATATATTGTCAAATACAATGTAAAGACGGCACTTTTCTGGGTAACTGAAAATTATACTTTACAATATACAAAACATTCTGGGATTATTCATGCTTCCTGGTTATCTGTACCACGCTTTAATTAGAAAGAATTAATGGAAGTTCACTGTGTGTACATTGCAGAATATCAGGTGTTACTGGGATGGAAGATGAAGCAGTGTGCATTTTTATCACAGCAGACTCTTAATAAAGCTCTTAAAGAAGAAATCACATGCACTATCTATCCATTCTGTTGGACTAACCCAAGCTACTTTTTCATTTACTTCTGCTGTTTTCGATGTCTGATATGCTCTATCAAGCAAGAATGTCTACCTTCTTACTTCAAAAGCATTCCAAAATAAAATCTTGGATTTTCAATTTCCTTTGTGAATGGAACAAAAAAATGTATATTTAATTGGACACCTTATATTTCATTTAACTGTACCCTACAAATGATCAGTTAACACAAATTATGTCATTGGAACACTTAAGAATTTTATTAATTACAATAAGGATATAAATACATAAAAGTTATCAGTTAGCCAGAAATCAAATGAGTTAGATGTATTGCATACTATTACATTCGTTAGAAATATAATTTAAAAACAGATATAAGTTATTAAAAAGTACTAATAGTATTGTTTTGACCATTTTTATTTGTATAAAGATATTAATACTCCCTTATTTTTCTTTCTGTATCCTCATTGAATACAAAAATTGATTAAAACTTCCTTAATATTTTTAATTCTTCTAATTATTGCTCATGATTTTCTCTCGTATTTTTAATATTAATAAGAAAAAAGAATCTTACCGATAAATGCAAATGCCTTGTTGAAATACTGTTTTATATTTTGCTGATAGGAATCAATAGCTGGTAGTCTTAGGAAGGCAAAACCTTTGTCATCGCAATAACCAGGAACATGATTGGTAACATTGAGCACATAACCAATTCCGAGCTCTTTTAATCCACTCAGATCTTCTGCATCTCTCTCGTTGCCAACATACAGGAAAGGAAGGATGGCTGTTGCACGAGGGCTCTCTATAGCAAATGTAGAAGGTGGACATTCCTCTTCTTCAGGGGTTGGAGGAGAAGAGCAAGAGCTTTGCTGGTTTCTGGAGAATTCTTGCCAGCCACCTGTTATAGATAGGTAGATAATTTTTAATTAACTGTGACACTACTTATGTAAGACAGGTTAATACTGCATAATATTTTATTACTAAAATAAGCATGTAAACATATTTGCTATAAATTTCAATACATACAAAGCATAAAATACAATTTTATCCAAATCCTACGCCAATCACTCCCCTATAAAGACTTACAAATTTTGTAATAAAGTTTCAAAGAAATAAAATGTCAAACAACTTAAATCGATTAATTTTAATCAACTAATTATAAAACTCAGATCAATGAAAATAAAAGAAATAATTAAGTGGTAAATATACGCTGTGGAAAATATGTTAGCCAAATGCCAAATTTTGTCATTCAAGTTCTATTTTGTCTTTGAAGTTCTAATTAAAATTTATAAATGAATGCCATCAAAAGTTTTACGTCTAAGTGAATGCTGAATCAGCATAATTTTTTTTGTGAAATGACACATGAATTCAAACAAAAATGTCAAATGTATGATTATCGCTGCAATTTTTATACACTGTAAATTTATAAGTCCTTCGATATTTATCATCGGGAGTTGTTTTAATGTTAAAATTTAGTGAACGTTTTCAAAGCACTACTTTAGTAATTTATTACTGAAAATCATCTGAAAGTTAACTGCCTAAGGAGGGATGCCTTCCAGAAGGAATTTCCGACAGAAAATGTCTTCCAATCGTTTACACACAGAGAAAATTTCTTATTAATTCTTAGAAGAGATTTTTGGAAAATTGAAAATCTATTTTAAAAAATGAAAGTGCCTTTGAAATACATAGGCTTTATGTATTAGTACCATGAAATCAGCAGAACTTTTTTTTATGTTTAAGCTCTTGTTTTAAAGTGAATTTTAAATTATTTGTCATTAAATATTTTTACTTTTTTATTGATGAAATATATTATATATGCCCTTACCAGATTTTCAGTTTTTCTAAGGAGAACTTGTTCAGTGGAAAATAGCCAAAAGGATGTAATATCTGTGAAAATCAGGCTATTCCAAAGACTAGCTATTATGATTATTTTGACTTTAATTTAGTTATTAGTCCAAAGGGATTTGAATCCCGAAGGACTATTAGTTTCGTTTTGGCATTTTGCGTCGGACTCATAAATGTCGGTTCACTTTTCAAACTGTTGCCACAAAATGTTAGAGTCCTGCATTATATTTGAAGAAATTAAATAATGAAAAATCTGCATAAATGTATGTATATTTCTCGTACTGTGATAAAACAACGGTACATAGAGTCATCGAATTTTGAATAACGTAATCCTCCAACGAATATGAGCATGTGGAAGACCAATTTGAAATTTGAAATTTGTTTTATGACCGATTTCCCAATTTTTTTTTAAAACTTTGACGAATTTTTTATTAAAACAAACTCAAGGATTTCAAAGCGAGCAATGGCAACGTTGTGCAGAGAAAAAACATTTTTTATCTCCAGGCGTGAGTCTCTGTATCGGAAATTCTAAAGATATGCTCGTTTTAAAAACTATTTTTTGCGATTATTGCTGTTTGCACTGGATCTTATGGTTTAAGTGCGAGGAACATGATATTTAATAAAGAAAGGTTAACACACAAAATGTTTTTTTAAAAACGCCCTTTGGACGTAATTTAAAATCTGAAACATTTCAGTTTTTTTTTTTTTTTTTCCTTTTAATTTCAAAATTTGTATTAATTTTAAATTTTGTATTTATTTTCAAAAGTTTTACTCTTTAAAATTTCTAATAGGTTAAGTTGTTTCCTTCGTATAATAAGTAGTTTTATTTTATACTTACTTTCACGTAATGTCATTTGGTCACTAATGATTATTGTTAGTTTTGTTTTTTGGAAATGGCAACAAAGCAACTTACAGAATTATCAAAAATATGTGTGGATAGTAAGTAGCATTATTAAAAGAATGTTTGTTTTGTTACTTACATAAGTGCTGTATTTAATTAAGATCGAAACTTATTTTCAGCAATAATTAATACTTTAAAATATGTTTATTAGAGTAGGTAATGTACTACTATACGCTGGTAGTGTAATATAAGTTTATTTTGAAGCCTAAGCGAACAGAACTCAATTAGTTACATTATAAGTTTCTGCACGTTTTAAAAGCACCAGAAATCTATTTTTTCTTCATACCGATTCACTATATGGAAAATCTGCAATCATATCAAAAAAAAAAAAAAAAAAAAAAAAAAAAAAAAAAAAGCACTTAGAAATTTTTTAATATCTTAATTACTGCTTGCATGTCACTACGCAAATATTTTGTATGCTTGCTTATATTTATTCTTATTTGCATTAAATAATATAAAGAAATAAGTAGAACTTTGTGTTAAATTAGGCCAAAAGCAAACCTCCTCCCCCCCCAAAAAAAAACGCATTAGCATATTCTGAACTATATTAATAACCTCCAGTTAAGTTTTAAGAATAAGTCGGAATGTTTATTTCAGGCACGTGACAGCACATGAAGATGAAGTGGGTTCAAAATACAAACAATGATACACTTTTTCCTGAGAGTGAACGAACGGCTGAGAAGTGACATCACCGGGTGACGTCACGCATGTGTGTCACTCACCGTTGACGTTGATTTCCCATTCCCGCGCCTTGTGTCACTCTCTAAATCGAGAGCGGTCCCCTATCTTGGTACTGAGTTGGATTCATGTAACTTGGAAGAGATACCCTATTATACACGACTGAGGGAACAAATGAAATAACTGTTGAATGATTCACAAGCGCCAAGATTAAAGAACTCACGTTTCTTGCTGAATAAACATATGATGAAAACAGATTCCAGCTTCTTCCTAAGAACTTAATCCGTTCTAATTTCTTTCTTTCACACTTACAAAGTTCAAAGCTTAAAAAAAAAAAAAAAAAAAAAAAAAAATCAGACCGACCTGCACTGTTCCTTTAAAGTTTCTGTTTAATTTCTTTAAATATAACTCAGGGTGATAATATTTGGTGGTAACAATTTGAAAAGTGAAACAGGCACTTATCCTGAACCGACGCAAAATACCGTTCTGTCTAATTTATGTATGCTGTTACAAATAGTAAATTTCGCTTGGTATTTTCCATGTTATATTTAACGTTTGCGTTTTAATTATTCGTTATGAAGAAAAACTTCTAACAAATCATCCCAGAATCAAAATTAAATCTTTGATCTGAATGTGTAAAAATCCTTCAAACTATCCTGCAAAAATAAAAATGATTAAATAAAATAAATGCTCCATATGGCCTCAGTTAGTAGCTTTTTTATTATTATTATTTTCAGCTGAATTACACCGATATTTTATTATTATAACTACGCGATTATTTATTTCAGTTTAATTTTTATTTCCGAGTAACAAAAATAGTTAAATCAAAATAAATTTTTACTACAGCCCATATAATTCCAATTTAATTTTATTAAGGAACATAGCCAACCTCAGTAGGGTAGTACTCCAGTTTCTTTTTTAATGCATGCATTAAATTAACAAAAAAAAGTACAGTTATAAATAATTTAAAATCGCGTAATTTATTTACAATATTCTAAATTATATTAACAGGATAAAAAGAAAATACTAAGATAAAGGAAAACATTAACATTTATCTCAAAAAGATGAAACGCGTTATCTCAATAAAAATAATTTAAGGCGACTTTTTTCTTTCAAAATTTAATTTATAGAATCAGATTTCATATATCAGCGAAATTTTATCAATTGTAGTTTCAATCAAAATATATACAAAGAAAAAAATCGTTCTCTCGTCAACATGTGTTAAGCATGAAATGCTTTTTCAGAAATATATTCTCTAACTCATGTCAAGAGATAAGTGATATTTTTTTTTATCTTTTTATCTCAATTTAAATGAATCGTTATACGCTCTTCCATAATGTAACTTTGATAGATTTGATATGTTAAATGGAAATGATGCAAAAATTGCTTAAAGGCATCAGCTTTTTTAGAACATCATCTTTAACTGTATTTAAATTTTAAATGTATCACAGTTTAAAAGGTATCAATTAGCTATACAATCACAATTTTAAGTGTATCAATTAGCTATACAATTAAATTTTGCTATTTAATTGTATAGCTAATTTAGAAATCGTCTCTGGTTTCATGCTAAACGTTATTTATCTAGAATTCAAAGATCCAAAATTAACAATCCAAATTAATCCAAAATTAACTTAAACGATCCAAAATTAATGCAGGTCAGAGTACAAGCCAATGGGGGATATAAAAATTATAAAAACAAGTTTGCAATAAGCGACTAAACTAACAATTAAATAGTTTTAAATTGCTTACATAAATACTAAAATTCCACTTTATATTTCATCGGATAAAAGATATTTTAAGAATCGTTTCCGCCCAATCGGCCAAATTCCTACCACTAAGATAATTTTGTGGACTTCCCCCACAAAGGAAATTAATTTGACAATAGAAAACATTTTTTAATAAAATTTTTCTTCATTTGGGTACATACAAAAATTAAAGCATCACGTATCTTTACTAAAAGGTATCACGGAACGAAAACTGTCTTAATATGAAGACTTCAGTAAAAAGCTTAATTTCTTAAATTAAAATCATGGCTCTGCGATAAACCATTTCAGAGATAATCAGCTATACAATATTTAAAAATATCCTATGTAAATACTAATGCGGAGTTGTAAATTATTCTTCCTGTAGTCTTAGCTTAAACCCTGTTATAACGTTATTTTGTTATACCGCGGTTTCAAATATTAGAGCAGTGTTGCGTAAAACCACATTTAAATAACGTATTTCCCCCATAATCCATCCAAAAAAAAAAAAAAATTGTTTTCCGCCCGTCAGAATACCTTTCTAAGAATAATAGCTTCTTGAAATGATCACATTTATTTCCGCTTGGGACGACTAAAAAGACCCCCCCCCCGAAAAAAAAACTGTTCGTCTGCGCGAAATTTATAATGAACTAATCAGTGTATGAATATAGTAAGTCGCAACAGTGAAGATTTTCGAAAAATATCAATATTTTTACATGGAATTTTTTTTTT